GCTGTTCTTTTTCAAGGAGGTTTAGATGTGTCATTAAATTGTTCGTTTCAGATCTCTCCAATTTGTTGATGTAGGAGCTCAGAGCTATAAACTTGCCTCTAAGTACTGCCTTTGCTGTGTCCCAGAGGAGCTGGTAATTTGTGTGTTCATTTTTGTTGAATCCTGCTCTATTTTTTTTTATTATTATAAGTTTTACTTTCTGTATTTATGCCTGGTAACTTTCTGGAATTGAATTTGAAAATGGTGGAATGTAAGAGTATAATTACTCTTCTCATATGGACAAACTGTTGTCCTCCAATCTTTTTCCTATGGGCTATTCTTTCTCCACAAGACTATAACTCTACATTGGTCATTATTGTGTCTGTTTATGCATAGCCAGTTCATTTTCTATTATTGCTTAGTGCAAAACGTAGTAAGCTAAAACAACAGAGATTTATTACATTCTTGAAGATCATGGGTCTAAAAGGGGTAGAACCTCATGGATGCATTCCTTAGAGCAGTAAGGAACATTATTTTTTCTTGTTTTTCCAACTTAAAATGCCGCTTGCATAGTTTGCATGTGTCTTCCTTCCAGTAATGGCCATGCTTGGACATCTGCTCTCATCCTTACATCCTCTCTGAGACCTTCCTGCTTCTTATTTAAGAATCTTTGCGGTTTTATTGCACTCTCCATATCATGTCATCTCAAGGTTTTTAATCATTTCTAAAGGCTTCCTTGACATGTAAGGTAATGTATCCACAGTTCCAGGGATTAGAGTATGAATATTTTGTGGGGTGGGGACATTTTCATCCTGATGTAGACTTCCTTTTGGCAATTACATTGCTCTTGTTTCTGATTCATCCATTTTTAACATACACATAATCTGTATCTGCTGGTTCTATCAGAATAAAGTTTTGGGGGAATTTAACCCTGCTCATCTTGTATTTGCTAATTGTTACTCAGGGCCTGAGGTCCTGTGTTATATAGTTTTAGATTCTAAACTCCTTATCAGGGGACTGTATTTGTGGTAGTGGATTGTATCTGGGCTTGGTTGAAGTCATACCCTGCCAAAAAGGATTTGTAGTTGCTCCTACTGTGTCTCTGGGGTTATCACTATCCCAGAACCACTTGCCATGTTATTTCTTGGATAAGGGTGCTGGCGATCTTATACTGGCATAATTTTAAATCCTTAGTCTGTGTGAGAGCAGATCACTGACGGTAAGTACAGAAGTATAATCTTCCTCTAACCAGGGCTTAACACAAAGCAGCATTTTGGTTTGTTTTCCCCCGTCTGCTAAGAAGTGGATCACCTTTTATTCAGTGGACTATAAGATCCCTTAAAGATCTAGAAATGGTATCTTACTCTGTTCCCAACCTGGCCGTTTAAAATTCAGTACATAGGTTTCTGAGATAAGCAAGCTCCTTAAGACTGATGCTCTCTTAATTCATATGCTTACTATTCCACTTGTCAGTTTCCACTTCAGTTTCATGGTAAGTGAAACTTCTGAAGTCTTCCCTGCTTCAGTCCTCTTTGAACATGTACCTGGTGCTTCCTGTTAGGTGTCTTAACACATTAGTTCTTAAGGGTAGTTGTGGTGTTTGTTTTTTGTTTTTGTTTTTTGCGTTTGTTATATTATGTTTGGGATAAGGGCTAGCGTTAGGCCTTGATTCTCGTACCTATATTTTCCATATTAGGTGGTGGTATACATCGTCATGCATGGTATTTATTGAAATAGGGTCACAAACTCTTTTTGCCTGGGCTGGTTTGATCTGTAATCCTCCTCTTAATTCTTAAGTCTATATGCTTGCAATTTCACAGGAATATACCACCATTCTGGGCAAGCTACTGCTAAATTTACCTCTGAGAGTTTCCTCAGACCATAATTGAGAACATAATAAAATTATCAAAATTCTTTTTCTGCAATATCAATTGTCACATGTAGTATACATAAAATGTAGTTTTCTTTACTTTTAGCCCAATTCTACTGATTTTTACTTTTCTTTTTCTAGGATGTGTGCTGTGTTTGGTGGAATCTATTGTCTTCGCCATTCTGTACAGTGCCTTGTAGTGGACAAAGAATCCAGAAAGTAAGGATGCTATAAGTTACCTTCCTATATTCATCCTCCAAACGCAGGTGAAAAATGTTAAAGTCAACTTTAAAAAAATGATTCTTGAAAGATCCTCCTTGGTATTAATAACATATCAACCTTGATTAAAAGTAATTTGTGTTTAGATCTTCCAGAACAAGGAAAGTGAGTTCAGAATATAGAATCTAAATTAATTGCCCTGCAATGTGACTACAGCTCCTGACCATCCAAGCTTGGAAGACAAATCATTTCAGCTGCCAGGGGTAGTCGATGAGTGATGTTAGTTTTCCTTGTGGCCTTACCTCCTCTAATTGATTTTCGTCAGATGACAACAAAGCCCTCTGTTATTGCATTTTTAAAAATGGAACTCACATAAAGACTCATCAGATTAATCTCTGCTGATAATGCATGTCACTCCAAGAGAAAAGACTTTAATGAGTTTTTAGGTAGATTGTTGTCATAAACTATCCTGCCCTGTTATCTGAGGATAAATTTTTTTACACACTATCAAACCTACAAACCAGTTGAAGATAGGAATTTACTTGCTTAAAAAAGCTTAGTACCATTTATTTACCTGTGCATTTTTTCTTTTGATTATTGTTCTAGAATTTGTTATTAGAGTATATAATTGTCTGATTTAAATGAAAGAAGATAATATGTTACACATCTAGATCTTTTCCAGGTTTTTCATTGAAACTTTGTTTCAACTGGATGGAGATTTAGAAGCTATTGAAACAGCTTTTTTTCACTTATTTAGATATATCAAGCACCTATATTTCTTTTTTTTTTTAAATTCTTTTTTTTTTGCCAGTCATGGGGCCTGAACTCTGGGTCTGGGTGCTGTCCCTCAGCTCTTCAGCTCAAGGCTAGCGCTGTACCACTGGAGCCACAGTGCCACTTCCGGCTTTTTCTGTTTGTGTGGTGCTGAGGAATTGAACCCAGGGCCTCATGCTTGCAAGGCATGCACTCTACTGCTGAGCTACCTTCCCAGCCCGCACCTATATTTCTTGCGTAACTCTTTAAGGCTATGTAAAAAAAAAAATAGTATCATTGAGGTCATAAAATACCTTAATGTTTTGAACTAGAATCTAATATAGTAAAAGTTTTAATCTCTACTGAATATTTTTGAGTAATTTCGTGTAGTCATAGTGGCATAAAATGACTGTTAACTTGTCATTGAATAGTTCTATTTTGAGCTAGGGCAAACAAAAACCTTGAGAAATATGTAATAATAAATTTGTAATTCTGTAAATAAGAAAATTGACATGTGATTGTAAAGTACCTTTCAGAGTTCAACAAAAGTGTATGAATTAAATGAAGTCTGATAGTTTACAGTGAAAATAATCCATCCCTAAAGACTAAGGTAGTCTCATCTTGGCTTATGAAGATCTCTAAGTGGGTCATAAAGGAATAGTTGTCTTTCTGACTTTTGGAAGTGTCTTTTATATGTATATATATTGCATTCATTCTGAAACAAGAGTATGACAGAAAGATAATGAACTGCTTTGCTTGTTCAGTGCTTATTTCCTTAGATCAGTCAGTCTCACATGTGACATGAAAAATTTGCATGGCTCATGTTCTTTTGATTTGGAATGGTTATGCTATAGTACAGTAATAGCTTTTGTTGAAATGAAGGCTACATTTACCTTACCTTGACCTAGCCTAGGATGGGCTATGAACAAAGAAATTCTTCTATATGATCTATGCAGATTCCTGTTACAATAGATAGCTGAGGGCTAAAGGTTTAGAGACCAAAAGAACTTCCAGATAGGTAGTATTTATTATGCCTAAGAATTGCCAGGTAAGCGCTTGTCTAAAAAAATAAAGTATATCATAGCCATGGGAAATAATGCTGCAATTAACATAGTTGTGCTGTAGCTTTAGTAGGGTCTTGTTTGTGATGATTTGGGTAAATGTGCAAAAGTAGAATTGTTGGGTCATAGGGGAGCTCTATGTGTAGTCTTTGAGGAACCTCCATACTGCTTTCCGAAGTGATTGAACAACTATACACTCCCACCAACAATGCAGTAGGGTTCCCTTCTGGCCACATTCTCTTAAGCATCTGTTGTTATTAGATTTCTTGATTATAGTCATTCTAACTAAGGTGAGGTGGTATCTCAATGTTGTTTTGATTTGCATTTCTTTTATGGCTAGAGAGGTTGAGCATTTCTTCATGTGTCTATTGGCCATTCTTATTTCCTC